TTGATTTAAATCAAACCCCCACTAATTTGGGAGGCTTTTTGTGATATTCCAGCTCCGGGAACAAAACAAAACAGGCAATTCTTTTGATCAAACAACCTTAATAAATCTTTTTGCTGGGTAAGATAACTGCAAACCTACTATTTGCGGTTTCCGTTTACAGTCTCTAGCAAAGTGACTTTTATCACACTGGGATACTTAGCGTTAAGGCTTTTATTTCCATGCTTACCTGTGGCAAAACTACAGGGCTCCAGATAACAAAGTCTCATTGTCGCATTGAAGCATTTCTTTTTTTTTTTTTTAACAAGCTGCTCCAAACATAAAAACCTTCCGGATTATCTGGGGTATATTTTGTATCATTTTATTCCCCTAAGCAAAATCAGTGAATACATATCTTGCTGTCTAGTTAATCATCCCTTTTTTGCCCTGCAAACTCAAAGTGGCTTCACAAGAACTTCGCCATCTCCCCAGTGGTGAAATTCAATTTTTTCCCCCCTACTGGTTCTGTGGCCATGGGGGGGGGGGGGGGGGTCATGTGACTGGGTGGGCGTGGCCGTTTTAAAAAACGTTTTTAGTGTTAGTTAAAAAATGCTTTAAAAAGGGTCCAATAATCGCACGGCACAGCTGATGCTGATCATTGGAACCTTTTTTTAAAACTTTTTTAAAGCATTTTTTTTTACTACCTGTTCGTCCAAACCAGTAGTTAAAAAATGCTTTTAAAAAGTTTTTTTTTAAAGGGCACGATACAGCTGATCGTCACAGCTGATCGTCAGAACCTTTTTTAAACTTTCTTTTAGCATTTTTTTCACTACCAGTTCGGTTCCGACGATCAGCTGTGGTGATCAGCTATGTCTTGTGATCGTTGCAACCTTTTAAAAAACTTTTTAAAAGTATTTTTTTTACTATTGGTTTGGATGGATAGGTAGTTAAAAATGCTTTGAAAAGTTAAAAAAAAAGGTTCTGATGATCAGCTGTGCTTCACAATCGTGGGAACCTTTTAAAAAAAAACTTTTTAAAGCATTTTTAACTACCCATTTTCCCAAAACGGTAGTAAAAAATGCTTTTAAAAAGTGTTTTAAAAGGTTCCAATGATCAGCTGTGACAATCAGCTGAGCCACGCGATCGTCCGAACCCTTTTTTGAAACTTTTTAAAAGCATTTTTTACTACCTATTCGCCCAAACCAGTAGTTAAAAAATGCTTTTAAAAGGTTTATTTTTAAAGGTTCAGAAAATCACATGGCACAGCTGATTGTCACAGCTGATCATCAGAACCTTTTTTAAACTTTATTTTAGCATTTTTTTTACTACCGGTTCAGTTCCGACGATCAGCTGTGACAATCCGTTGTGCCGAGATTGTGGGAACCTTTTTAAAAAAACTTTTAAAAGTATTTTTAACTACCTATTTGCCTGAATTGGTAGTAAAAAATGCTTTAAAAAGTGTTTTAAAAGGTTCTGATAGTCAGCCGTGACAATCTGCTGAGCTGCGTGATCGTCAGAACCCTTTAAAAACGTTTTTAAAGCATTTTTTTACTACCGGTTTGGCCAAATAAGTAGTAAAAAAGCTTTGAAAAGTTTTTTTAAAAGTTTCCCAAGATCCCGTAGCACAACTCTTTTTTTTTTTTTTACTTTTTAAAGCATTTTTAACTACCTATTCACCCGAAAAGGTATTAAAAGAATACTTTTAAAAAGTTTTTTAAAGGTTCTGATGATCAGCTGTGACAATCAGCTGTACCGCGTGATCGTCAAAACTATTTTTAAAAACTTTTTAAAAGCATTTTTTTACTATCTGTTTGGGCAAACTGGTAGTATTTTTTTACTACTGGTTCGGGGCGAACTTGCCTGAACCGGTAGCATTTCACTCCTGCGTCTCCCAGCATTTTTAGTTCCCAGAAACTGAGTTGCATGCACAATGGAAAATGGTTAACACGCAGCGAGAGTTGGGCTGAAACAAGCCATGTTGTTGCCACGGTTTCTGTGTTTCTACGCCAATGTAGCTTGATTTTTGTGCGTGTCGTGAAATTCTCACCAAGGTGAAAGCAGCTGTGGGCATCTTCTTTGTGCTTCATGGCAAAAGGCCTGAAGGTAGATTTGTTCTCACCACACAGGGGTCTACGGCTTGAGCAATTCTTTGCTGGATACTCCCTGGAAGAAACTTCAGTACGGAAAGCAGCTTTTTTCAGATGTCGTCAAGCACAGCCAGAACCTCAAGAAAGAAGACTTGGTCCAGGAACTAATTAAACTGCTGAATAACCAGGACCCGTAAGGCTCCGTGTCCTCTCTTGCTTTGCTCCAAACTGTTCTCAGGGGGACTGCAGATGTCCAAGGGTCTGTGATATTGAGAGTTGTAGGCCATCAACATCTGGAGACTCATAGCTTCCCTTGCCTTGGCTTACAGACCAACTTACTTGATGGCGACATGGTCCCCATCCAGAATCCAGGAAATAGAGTAGAATAGAATATAGAGAATAGAGAATGGAATAGAACATAGAATGAAATAGAATATAGAATACAACAGAATATAGAATAGAATATGGAATATAGACTATAGAATGGAATTGAATATAGAATAGAATATAGGAATGGAATGGAATTATAGAATAGAATAGAACAGAAATACAAAATAGAATAGAATAATAGAACAGAATTACAGAATTATAGAATAGAATTACAGAATAGAAATACAGAATAGAATAGAATTACAGAATAGAATAGAATTATAGAATAGAATAGAACAGAATTACAGAATTATAGAATAGAATTACATAATAGAATTACAGAGTAGAATAGAATTACAGAATAGAATAGGACAGAATTACAGAATTATAGAATAGAATTACATAATAGAATAGAATTACATAATAGAATAGAATAGAATTCTTTATTCTTGAGTGGCTAACTGCAGGCCGGTACTGGTTCAGAGACTGGGGATTGGGAACCCCTGCCATAATTCATCAGGGATATGACCCCCAGGCTTCCAGGGGTGGGCTTCAAAAATTTTAGCCACCAGTTCTCTTCCTGGTTGCTGGGTGGGCGTAGCCTGGTGGACGTGGCCTAGTCGGCCTCCTGCACCATGGCAAGGAGGGCGTTTTTGCCCTCCCTGGGCTCTGGAGGCTTTCCTTGAGCCTCCGGGAGGGGGGAAATGGCCTCCCGTGGGCTCTGGAGGCT